CCTGGCCAACATGGTGAAACCCCATCTTTTAAAAAAAAAAAGAAAGAAAAGTGGGAAAGCTTAGGGGTGTGGTCAAGGAAGAGCTAAAACCCAATGTGACTGAAGGACACTCAACAGAAGGGAAATCATGGGTGGCAAATTAGACTATAAAAGGCTTGAATATCAGCTCAAGGGATCTGGCCTTCGCTTGGTGGAAAGGGGCATCATTCAAGGCTTTTAAGCAGAGGAATGACAGGATCGGGGTTGGGTTCCAAGAATGGCAGGTAGGCTGGACTCAAGCAGACAGACCAGGTGAGAGGCTGTCATCAAAATCCTACTCACACGCGATAAAGGGCCTGATCTGCACAGCAGCCGTCGGAATAGAATGAAGGGGACAGAGGTGGAGGAACTACAGACAGCACTAAGTGACATTATAGTAACTCTTCAACCTCATTCCCTCAGATTTCTCCATGCAGAGATGACTCAGACAGAACGGCTGTGACAACACAGATGTCCAAAACGCCTCTTTTTTTTTTTTTTTTTTTCTAAAGATGGGGTTTCACCATGTCGGGCAGGCTGGTCTTGAACTCCTGACCTCAGGTGATCCACCCACCTCGGCCTCCCAAAGTGTTAGGATTACAGGCGTGAGCCACCGCACCCGGCCCAAAATGCCTCAACACTCATCATGACAAGTGGCCAAGAGGAAGCACAGGTGCAGCAGCACCCAGGCAGTGTCAGGGCCCATGGGCTCCTCCTGCTCTTCCTAATCACTGCTTACTCCCCTGACATGTAGTTTTCTTGCTGTGGTTTCACCGTCCGGAGGAAAGATCCCTTGTTGCAGAGTGGCAAATGCACAGTTAAGTCTTCTGAGGCCACAGCTCAATCTGAACACAGCTGTGCTTTGGGTCCCTCTTAGTCCAGGGGTTGCAAGGATACTCTAGAAGCCACTCACTTTTCTGCCTGCTTCTCCACAAGGGCCAGTTGTAAACTTTCCCTGACCTACCGTGGCTCAGCCTTGATACCTTTCCTACTTCAAGCCCTGAACTCCCTCCCCTTCTATTATGGGCTGAATTTTGCCCCCAACTTGCAATTCACACATAGAAGCCCTAATCCCCAGTGTGACTGTACTTGGAGACAGGAACTTTAAAGAGGCAACTGAGGTCATAAGGGTGGGACCCTAATTCAATAGAACTGGTGCCCTTATAAAAAGAGGAAGAGGGCCAGGTGCAGTGGCTCACGCCTGTAATTCCAGCACTTTGGGAGGCAGAGGTGGGTGGATCACCTGAGGTCGGGAGTTCGAGACCAGCCTGACCAACATGGAGAAACCCCATCTCTACCAAAAACACAAGATTAGCTGTGCATGGTGGTGCATGCCTGTAATCCCAGCTACTCAGGAGGCTGAGGCAGGAGAATCACTTGAACCCGGGAGGTGGAGGTTGCAGTGAGCCAAGGTTGCACCACTGCACTCAAGCCTGGCAACAGAGTGAGACTCTGTCTCAAAAAAAAAAAAAAAAAGGTCTAGTCATGAGGAATGAGATGGCAACATCAGTTTGACGGGGTTTCAAGTAGAGGACTTGATGGAGCATCACCTAGAGCTCAGGAAATGCTGGGTGAGAGTCCAGGGTTAGGGCCATCTGCACAGCAGCACTGCGTGGAGCCCATGAATGAGGGTAGGAAAGGCAGGGGTCCAAGGATCAAACCTTGTGCGAGGCCTGTATCTAAGTGATAGAAAGATAAAACAAAAGGAATAATCAGAAATCAAAACGCCAAAATGTTAGTGTCATCAAAACTTAAAGAAGAATTTTAAGATGGGATAGTTAGCAAGGCCAAATAATGCTAAGAGGTAGAGACAATGAAAATTGTCAGAAAATGCCACTGACATTCAGAAAACCAAAGTCAGGGCAGATAAGAAACTAAGAAGCAAATGGATACCAAGTAACAGAAATGTTGCTACATTTGGAACAGATAAATTAGAGCGTTGGAGCAGCAGCTGGAGGGAAAAGTGGGGTTGCTGGCTGCTTTTATTTTTAACATTAAGAAAATGATCAGCAGGTTTCTGTAGCCAGGGATGATCCGGAGAACATGGAAGCTGGAGTTAGCCTTGAGATGGAACAGCTCTTCTCCAGGGGCAGGAGAGAAGTGGAAAAAAATGGTAGAAGGAAGAAACCAAGACGACTTACCTCAGCATCAAGCTCTCCTACGAAGTAGTTGACAAAATTCAGGAACTTGGAGAATATGCAGCACAAGCACCACAGAAAAATACTCTCTAGGGTCAAATGGGTAAAGCAGCAAAGGTGGCCAGGAGGGGCCGATGGAGTAGCTGCTGCTTTTCATGAAAAGATAACTCCATGGCCAGGCGCGGTGGCTCACGCCTGTAATCCTAGCACTTTGGGAGGCTGAGGTGGGTGGATCACCTGAGGTCAGGAGTTCAAGACCAGCCTGGCCATCATGGTGAAACCCCGTCTTAAAAAAAATAAAAAATTAAAATTAAAATATTAAATTAAAAAAAAGGTAACTCCATGAGGAAGAGGAGGCCAGCATGCCACCTTTCCATTTTCAGGAGACTCTAGAAATCTAGATTTACATAAAATGTCCCCGTTTTTAAAAACGGACAGCTATTTCAGACTTAAAAGAAACGCTACGTAAACCAAAACAGAATGGAGCCCCTGAGCTGGCGGTGAACTAAGGCCACAGCGTTAGTTCACTACAAAGAGTCGGCGAATTGAACTAAAATGTCCAAGAAACAACTTAGGTTAAAAATATATATGTATAATAAGCTTACAGCAGCAGAGGTTCTCATGGATTTTTCTCACAGTAATATACATCAAGCATAGAAAAGGAAAGTGGTAACTTTTAACCTAAGTTGGATTTTAACATGTTTTTAAAACATAAAGGTAGGCTGGGTGCAGTGGCTCACGCCTATAATCTCAGCACGTTGGGAGGCCAAGACAGGTGGATCACTTGATGTTAGGAGTTCAAGACCAGCCTGGCCAACGTGGTGAAACTCCATTTCTACTAAAAATACATACAAAAATCAGCCAGGTGTGGTGGTGGGCACTTGTAATCCCAGCTACTCGGGAGGCTGAGGCAGGAGAATCACTTGAACCCAGGAGGCAGAGGTTGCAGTGAGCTGAGATCATGTCCTTGTACTCCAGCCTGGGTAACAAGTGAAACTCTGTCTCAAATAAAAAATAAAAATAAATAAAAAAATTATCTGGGTGTGGTGGTGCATGCATGTAATCCCAGCTACTCGGGAGGCTGAGGCACAGGAATCACTTGAACCCGGGAGACAGAGGTTGCAGTGAGCCGAGATCGCACCACTCACTCCAGCCTGGGCAACCGAGCGAGACTCCATCTCAAACAAACAAACCCAGAAAGGTAGGATTGTGAGGATTTCTAGATTTACAAGGAACACGGAGCTGGAATGTTAGACCGCGAGGCCAACATGAATTGGCAGATAAGAGGATCTAGGCGTTTGGGACTGGGAAGATGAAATGTTTCAGGGACTAGCTCAGCAGCATGAGTGGGGAGGAAAGAAGGGACTTAGGCAGCACTTTCAAAAGTTAACGGGTTGACACAAGAAAAGTCTTCTTAAAAGATCTTTAGAGCTGAACAGCTCCCTGTGATGCAATTCTAAAGGAGCCATGTGTGTATACAAAAGGGAATCTGTATTTTTGTTTCCATCTTTCTCTAGGATCTATTGAGTAAAGTCGGGTAGAAACAGCAAGGTTTTAGAGCCAAACCTAGTTTTGAATCCTGGTTTCACTGCTTGCTCCCTGCGAGAACATGGGTGAGTTTCTTAATTTTGAGCTGAAGATGGAAGAGCCCCTAGAACAGGAAGCACATGTGGGTGCAGTGAAGCTGACTCACAGGAGGACACGTGCGGCCTCTCGCCACAGCTTCTGGAGCATCCAAGTCCCCTCCGTGCAAATCACTCTTTCCTGTCCTCTGGTGGAAGCCCTAGTGTAATGGGAATCCCATTTTCTGTGAGAACATTTGAAATTTGTTCCTGATTTTCTTTTTGCAGCAGACAAGAAGCAATTATAGACTAGGAATAGGCAGGCAAGGAATTCTCTATCCACTCAGCCCAGACCCCTTCTGCAAACCGAACTTCAGCTGCTGAAAAGTCAGGGCTGGTGATTTTGTTCCCCATGAAAGAAAGGTCAAATAGAATACTCTGGACTTGGCCGGGCGCGGTGGCTTACGCCTGGAATCCTAACACTTTGGGATGCCAAGGTGGGTGGATCACCTGAGGTCAGGAGTTCAAGACCAGCCTGGCCATCATGGTGAAACCACATCTTTAAAAAAAGAAAGAAAGAAAGAAAGAAAACTCTGGACTCAAAAGTATCCTATAAGTCTGAAAGCCAGGGAATTACAAAACAGAACCAGATGCTGTATAAGAGTCCAGGGCACTTTGACAGAATTTCAAAGACTAAGCTGGCCAGAGAGTTCCACCACCTGGAGTGGATGAGCGCTAACAGAAGTGAACATAAGGGACCCAAGGAACAGACATCAGAGGAGAAGATGGAGTGAGTGATGCATTACCTTAGCTACAAATACCTGGCACAGCTAGGGACCTTCACAGCCAAGGAGCAACTAGTGAGCAGGCTCACTTAGCAGACAGCATCACTCAAATGCCAAAAGATCAGAGAAAGGGCATGGGATAAACAGCATTCTGCTCGGAGGGAGAAGAATAGAAGGGCACTGTCACCAGCAACAGCCAGATGCAATGAACTACGATCAGGAACGAAAGAGCCCAGGTACTGTCATCTCTGCTCATCTTCCAAGGTCTGGGACTTAGAAGAGGTAGGATTATTCCATAAATATAGTAATCTACACCTGAACCCACCATCACCCTACCTAATAGTAATTAGGAATCAATTATACAGTCAGTATCACACCGCAAAGAAAACAGAGCTTCTCCCCACAAGGCACTTACGTAACCAACACCCAATCCATGAAAAAAACTAAACAGTAAAAAGTTAGCGGACTGCTGGTGAGTAATGTTTAACGCTAGTTACTTTGACTGCGGAAGGGTATCTGATTGTATAACCTAAGATGGAACCACAGAGAAAATTATTTCTGTCTCACTGAGGCATAAGGAGAAGAAAGGGCAGGGTCTCTCTGGCAACATTCAACCTAGACATTATTTGCTTTCCACTGAAGTCCATGCTCGCCTGTAGAACACTCTGAACTTCAGCGAGAAAAAAGCAGCGTTCTCAGGACGCTTGACCGGGTGTATCTGCACAGTGTGGACTTTGAGGAACGCAGTTCCCGCAGCACGTGGTGTATCTGTTTAACAAGAAGGAGGAAAAACAAGCCTACTAGACTTTTGTTAGGAAAATGCAGTTGGTGGAGACTGCGCAATGTTAAGTCAGCAACTATAGAGAGGCTGAGAATTCGCTCCAGGCATCAGCCCTGACTCCAAGGCTTCACGCCTCACACCAGCCATGTCTTCAGAGCCTGCCACGGAGCCTCAGCACGTGCTGTCTCTTCCAACAGCATAAGCAAAAAACAAAACAAAAGAAAAGCAAAAAAAGACTCCTACTATTTAGCTGGGCATGGTGGCGCGTGCCTGTAATCCCAGCTACTCAGGACGCTGAGGCAGGAGAATTGCCTGAACCCAGGAGGCAGAGGTTGCGGTGA